ACTGCACATATAATCTAATTTAAAGTTGCAAATAAAACTTATAAAAGTTAAGCAAACAAAAAACTTATGACGAAAGCAGTTTCATCTGCAACTCGTCCACCTTCCATTCCTGGTTTTGCGTGACAACGTCGCGCAGCTACTTATAGTGATTTGAACCAAGCAAAAAATGCCAATCGGTTAACAAATCCATCATAATTCGGTAAAATTGGCTTGCTAAAATCAAGCCCAAAGTATACTCAAAAAATATTAAATATATAAATCTAAAAGAGTATTTTAAAATATTTAAAAAGGGCTTTTTAACTATCTTTACATGATTACTTTTCGGAAGTCTCAAATTTAGTAACAAAACAGGTATGAAATAGTTACGAAATAGTTGCATATTGTTATAATAGTTTTACAATCTATATTCTTATCTTACTGTTTATATATCATTTCAATATATTATTATAAAATTAAATATAAATAGTATAAATATTATAGCATGAAGTCGTAACTTTAAATTATTTTGATATATTCATAATTTTTTGAATTTACTAATTTCCCCAACCACTTATGATTGGTTCTACTAATTATTCACATATCGGATTATCTGTGTTATTAATCAATTTTATAGTTCTCCGATAGTGAAGTGGTGGGGGAAATTAGGGCACCCCAATTTTTTAAAAATTCTAATCATATTTAATGATAATTTTTTGGTAAATTAGTTTTGTATGACCTTACATTGGAGTGTTAAATAGGTTTCTGCTTAATTCTCCGAAAGTTACTTATATGCCAACACATCATTACATGTTTTCGACAATTCTTGACATAAAATTTGCCTGATTTAGTTTTATGACTAGCTGATTTTAGAGTTATTGTTGGTTAGAATTAAATGTCGGAGAATAATTTTTGAGAAAATGTCTTGTCTAAGAAAAGGATTGTTGAAAAGATGTAATGTCAATATATATATGTCTTATCGAAAAAATGTACTGTAGATAAAATAACATGTATGGAGTCCTACAGCTCTTCTATATGTTTTTTTTACTTTATTATGGTTGGTTTTCATTTTTTATTAAAAAGTACTCTAACTTGTATATATAATGTAAAATTAAATTGAATTTATTAGCCAATCAGAAGAATTTCTGTCTATGATATACTTTCTGGCCAAATTCCAAACTATTATAGTTTGGGTTTGTCTGCGTTAGCATGGTTGAATATTTTTATTGGTAGATCCGACCCTAGGACCTTGAGGAAATGTTGCGTAACAACCCATGATCTGCATCATGCAAACCGTCGTACCACGATGCCTGCAATCCAGGACAAATCAAGCTTTTCATTAAGTGATAGCACCGATCCATTGAAGAAAAAGCCACTCACCTGATTTGGAATACAACTGTCAAGGTAATATTACTTTGACAAGTAAATTCTGTAACTGTGTCAATGCGTTGTCATATATTGGATTGTGTGTTGTTGTGGGATAATGGGAAAAATTATAAAATAACAATGAATGAGTTAAAGGAAAAAGGAAAAAATGTTAGTAAAAAAAAGAAAAATAGTTTATGATAATGAAAAAAAAACTACCAAAACTGTGTCTCAAGTTCCTCTCTTTTTTCTTAAGAATTCTCTATAAAAATAGAATCTCCTATCATATAGTAGAATAGAGAATTGTTCCCTAAATAATAGTCCTGTTCTCTTGTAATCCATCCTATAAAATAAATAAAATAAAATTAAATTAAGTTTTCATTATTAATTCTAATAAATAAATAAATTAAATTAAAAAAAACTTATGCTTTTTTTAATTTCTTTTTATGATATTCTCAAGACTGTCTTAGACTAGTTCAAATTGAATTCACCTAATCTGTCTTAAACAATATTATGCAATATCGATGAATTTGAAGCAACAATTTATCACATTCTTTCTTATTCTAAGAGTGCTGTTCCTGATATATATACATATCAATATCTATCTGATTGTCTAATGATCATTTGTTTTTTCATAATTTTAATTGGTTAACTATTTTAATATATAAATATTATATCAAAAAAAAATTTTTTAAAAATTCATTTAGTTTAGGATTAGCATACAGATATATACTGATATGGTTAATTTTAAAAAATATTAGTACATTCATGTATCACATAAAGACTTGTAATATAGTTTTACTAGTTTAATTATAAAAATAATTATTAAATAAAACTAAATAAATTAATAGTATTTTTGCTAATATAGTCAAAAATTATATATATATTTTATTGTATTTTTTTTTAATAAACACCAATTTGTATTATAACATTATATTAGTGTTATAAAAAGTTATGTACTTGTATATTAAATGTATTAATAAATTAAATTCAATTGAGTTTTTGAATTAAGTTCTTAAAAAAAAATGTCAAGACAAAAAATTAATAAAAGATTATGTTTGATTTATAATTATGATAAAAATCAGAATAAATTTTGATGTCTAACACAATTATTAATAAAAAAAGCAACTATTAAAAAAACTATTTAACAATATCCATACTTATAAGTCAGTCAACAAGTATGTTATTCTTATTATATGCTCATCATTAAGAATAAAAATATTGAATATAAAAAAATAACTATTCTAAGTAAATCAGTCAAATTATTATTTAGAAATTATATTAAAAAAAAGATAACAGGCTTGTATAAAAAAAGTCAAGATAATCTTGTTTTTTATTCATATAAATTTAAAAAAATATTTGAAAATACAAATCCTAATTTAAGAGATTTTTTGCTAAAATGTATAGTATATTAATACCATATGATCATTCAACTTATAATCAAAATAAAGATAAAAAAAAGTTGTTATTGTTCTATATTTAATGGCTGAATTATACAATAAACATACAAATAGTTTTAAATTAGAGCTTATCTTATTTCTTTCTAGTTCTGAAATGATATATGATGTAATCAATGTTTTAAGCAATGCCAGTATTTTAGCTGCTTATAAGACCATATATAATTATAAAAAAAAGGTTGCTGATAAATATCTGATATGAATAAAAAAGTATTTTAATGATAATAAAAATCATCTTTGTATTTATAATATAGATTATTATTATAATATCTAGAAAAATCATCATCCAAATAGCATCTTTTTATCAGAAACTGCTCATCTTGCAACAAGTATATATAAAAAAATCAAAAAATCAGATCCAGTACCAATAATATTTAATAACATATCAGTCCATAATCTAAATAATATTGAAGCTCTACTTATTTGTAAAAAACTTATAGACCAGTAATAAAATTATTTCAATCTGTTATATTCATAATAGAAAGCCTAATAAACAAATTTAAATTTATTTAAATTTGATAAAATCAATCAATTTACAGTACACATCTATAACAATGTTATTGTAAAATGAAAAAAAGAATGAAAAATGAAGGATACAATTTTAGTAGAAATAGAAGAACAGCAACTTCATTCTGTACAAGAATATCTTAATACATTAAATATGATTTTAAAATATAACAAAAAAACAAATTATCTTACTAACAATATAACACCACTTGTTGTGGATTGGTTAAGACAACTTTTTATATACAAAACATTAACATATCTATATAATAAAAACAAAAACTTGTCAGTACAACCAGAAATAATTTCTTTTATTCTTCTTCTTGAGACATTGCATATTTCTCTTAATACTCAGAAACATATAATAAAAATCTATTATTTATTTTTCAAAAAACATTTTTATGACATATTTAGTAAAAAAAATTAGCAAAAAAGACTAGACCTTGAAGAACAAAGCTTTTATTAGAATTAGCATTCTCTACATGGCTCAAGATTAAAGATGATATAATAAAAAAATTTACTTATTTGCAAAAAAATATTAAATATCAATTAGATATAAAATTACTTGATAATATTATCTTGACAGTTCTTGATATCTATGCATTGCTATTTCAGTCTAATAATTTGAAAACTATGTAAAAATATTCTTTCATATTTGGACCTTTGTATTATGTTAGAAATGAAAGAATTATAATAAGACTCCACTTGTCTTCTTGTTAGATATATTTTATTGAGAAAAGAATGATCACCCAATGAAAGATGCTATAGAAAAACATTTGATCCAATTTAATGATTATTGGATAGAAAATATGCACAGCAAAATACATAAAACAACAACACCAAATGATAGTACTAAAAATATATGAAGACAAGCTTTTATCTTGGATTATCATAAATATTTGACCTTTTATGAAATAATTTTGACTAAAACATGATATTCATATTTTTCACAAGATTTGAAAATTTTAACTAATAAGACATGTCTCTTTCTTCTTTCTCAATTTTGAGAAATTTATAAAAAAATAAAGAAACAAGTTTAATTAGTAACCAAATTTCATCCTTAAAAAAACAATTCAAAAAAAACTTACAGACCATTTATAATCTTCCTACTTTAGGAAAATTAGAGACAACAAGTATGCCATCCAGATATTGTACTTAATCACCTTCTTTATTTGATAATTGTAATTGTTACCATATGAAGCTAATTACCAATGAAAGAATTGTTTTAGTATGCTGTCTGCGTCCAAATCCCAAACCCAAACCCAAACTAATATCTCGAAAAGTTTATTAATAATCTTTATTTAAACAAATGATATATGTTCTTATAGCTATATATAATATATTTATAAAATATCAAAATTACTCTGTTTTTATAAAAGCAATTTTTTTTTTCAGAGCTTGCCAGCAAAAGTATAAATATAGGTGATTAATACAAAAATTCATAAATCCTAACATTTAGAATATGTACATAAATTTGAATATACTTTGTTATACGTACACATAATAGTTTAATATTTGACTTAAAATTTATTCAGTATGATTTATTTTTTAATAAATTTATATTAATTGCAAGACAATCTATGTAGTTTCCTGTTTTAAGATATTTTAAAAACAAACTACGTCAAATAATATCTGCAATATTAAAGTTTTCAAGATAATGAGACGGCAAAGGCAGAATATGTATTGGACAAAAGATTTCATTAATGACCCTGTTCCCAGCCCTTGCTAGTTCTTCTTTCAAACAATCTTTGTTACAACAAAGTTCATAACAAGGAAAAATATATGGAAAGAAACCGTCCTCAGTCAATTGATTTTCTCCTTTAAAGGCCAATTGATTCCCACTGAGAATTAAAGCCAATAGAGTGGTATTTTTGCTAAGAGAATCTAATAATGCTTTCCCTCCTTCAAAATTAAGGTTATTATTACTAATATCTAGAAAGGTCAGGGTACTATTCTTACAAAGGGTTTCTGCCATTGCCTTTCCTCCTTCAACACCAATTTTATTACCATTAAGATTGAAGCGAATTAAAATATTATTTTTACAAAAAGTTTCTGCTAATGCTTTTCCTTCCTCAGAGCCAAATTGATTAGATCCGAGGTTCAAATTAGTCAATTTAATGTTTTTACAAAGTGCATCTGCGAAAGATTTTGCACCTTTAGGACCAAGTCTATTACAACTAAGATCTAAAGTAGTTAAGGTATTATTTTTGTAAAGAGCTTCAATTAAAGTTTTTACACCTTCATGGTCAAGTTCGTTATCACTAAGATCCAAGGAAGTCAAAGTATTATTCCAGTAAAGAGCCTTTGCTAATTCTTCTACTCCTTCAGAACCAAGATTGTTTTTAGAAAGATTTAAAGATGTTAAAGTGCAATTATTATAAAGGAATTTTGCCAATGCTTTTCCGCCTTCAAAACCAAGTTGATTGCAAGCAAGATTCAAAGATGTTAAAATGCAATTATTACAAAGAATCTTTGCAATCACTTTTCCACCTTCAGGACCAAGTTGACTTCCAGTAATATTCAAAGAAGTTAGAATGGCGTTACTACAGAGTGTTTCTACTACTTTTTTTACATAATCATAAATAAGTATATTATTAGTAATCTCCAAAGAGGTTAAATTTGTGTTTGTACACAGAACTTCAACCAATAATCTTTTCATTCCTTCTGAATCAAAATTATTGCACTCAAGTTTTAGAGATGTTAGGTTGGTGTTTATATTAAGGATTTCTATTGTTTCGCTATCAATAATTCCATAAATTCTTAAATTTTTAAGCTTATTACATTTTCGTAGAAACATTTTGATCATCGAAAATTCAACAGTATGAACTAATTCATGAAAAATAATTGGAATTGGATTATATAAATTATAAGAATAAAGTAAATCATCTGGATATGTTTGGTCGAATGGATCATAAGAGGGAAAATATAAGAAAAAACCAAGCCATTTATTGATACTAATCAATAGATTATAACCATCAATAGAAGTAGTATAAGCTATATAATTAAATAATGGCATTGAAAATTTTGGAAGTTTTATGTTTAGTGGGATAACTTGTTTTTGATCCTCAATGTTTAGCGACAAAAAATATGTCATTGCGATCCTTTTATCAAAGATATAATCCAGCGGTTTACTCCACAATATCGGTACCGCAATTCTACACCATTTCCGATTTACAAGAAGACATGAAAATAAGCATCCTCGATATTTCTTAAGGTCACTGAAATTATTAAATATTTCATAAAGACATTCATTTGGAAGCCGTGAAATCATTTTGAAAGGTTAAAGTTTATTAGGTACGTATGTACGTATGTACAATCAAACTCCCATTAAATACATGTTACTGTACAACATTCTTTTTATAGACAACGCCAACACAATTACGGTAGTTAATGAAATTTGGTTCAATGATTACGTAATAGCAGGAGTGTGCTAGGTTGGTTGATAATCCAAGTGTCTATTTGATTGTTTGTTGCTACTGTGAGCCGTGAAACGTGATCCCGGAAGCACGTGAAAGGAGGTGATCGAGGTGGCGCAGTAATAACTAACGGCTATGTCGATCACCTACCTAATATGGGCTTCCCGGGATTATCGCTCTTAAAAGACGTTGACACGGGCGAAACGGCGAGTCAGTCGCTTGACAAAATGGGTATGTCGTGTAACCTACGAACAGCTTAGTCGAAAGGAGGCGGTTAGATTTGGCGAGTGGTGTGTTTATGATCGTAGGTTTTACAAGGTAATGAAACAGAATTATTATAGGGGCGAGATTTTATGATAAGCACTAACTGAACTGTTCTTGTAGGGCGCGAAGCCTTTATTATATATTGTTATATTACATATAAGCTCTTTAAGGTACTAAAAGTATTAAACGTATTATATCCCTTATATCCTTTTAACGTCCTTTATCACTTAAAACCCTTAAATCTCGTATATCCTTTTTACTACCTTTTCTCTTAAAACTCTTATTGCTCCTATATCTCCTAACAGATCGAAAAGACTTATAGGACCAATAATCCCGGGAAGCCCATATTAGGTAGATGATCGACATAGCCGCTAATTGTTACTGCGCCACATCGATCACCTCCTTCCCGATCACGTTTCACGGCTCACATTTCTTCCCAACTCAAAGTGAGTCCCACAAACTTCACAATACAAGTTGTCGAACCTTTGCACTTGTTAGTCTTCTGAAGTCATCAAGAGTTTTGTCTAAGGTCCCATAAATTTGGCTTATTCTCCAAGATGAGAAGACATCGTAAACTTGTATAGCTGCAAGGTAATAATGTTTAGTTACAACCCTTCTCATCTGCATCTTTTGATCATTGGTGATATTAGAAAACAGCATACCAAAATAATAGGAGTGGACTAAAGTACTGATCCGATTCCTAGGCATATCATCTGAGTTAATAATGGATAAGTCAGAGTCACTGCGATCACAAGGTCATGTAACTTATTATATGGTGGTGGAGTAATAATGACATCATCGGGCATGGGGGTAGTGATATCAATGATTATTTCATTTAAACTCAGCATGGTTAAAAGTTAATTATATTTGATCCAAAAAGATCTTCTATGTTTTTTCCATTCTCCTTTTATATCTTTTGCTTTCTTTTCTTGTCTTTAAACATTATATATATATATATATATATTATTATTATTATTTTATTTATTTTAATCTTTACATGACATAGTAGCAGATATAGCAGTCATATTGATTATATTTGAGCTAATCATTCTATTATCTAATACCTAATCTTTTACTATATAGATGATGTTAACCAATATACACTTAGTGATTATAATATACTGATATCATTCTGGGAATTTCTTTATACCATTACTGGGAAATGATGTTCAGTAACCAAAACTAAGTATAAAATATTTGCTTATAAACAAATAAACCAAGACTTTTGATAAAATTTTACTGACCAAGTTATATCTAATCTTTAAAACAACAATATTCTCTTTACAACTAATACTATAGAATCATTTGAAGTCATTTGGCACAAAATTCAAACTAATATTATTTTAGCTGCTCTTCAAATAAAAAATTTATTGTCTGTAACTTTCAACACATCTTTTTTTTTAATACATTTAAACTATATTCAGAACTCAAAAAACTAGGCAACATCATAAGACAAGTTAAAACAGCATCTTGTAATCATAATTCTATGCCTATATTTCATAATCAAAATATTGATCAATTTAATTCTCTTAATCATTTCAATATACCTGTAATGTCCAATATATCTGCACTGTCCCAAGATTTTAATCTTCTATTCAATTAGATAACTGGAACCAATACAGAATAGAAAACACTCTATCATACATGTAATCTAGAAAATATTAAAATATAAGAAAACAAATTAATGATAAAATAGCCAAAGATGTACTAAACTTCAAAATAATCTAATATAAATGATCAATAGTATACTCAATTAACACAAAGATCCTGTCAAGTTTGATAATATTAAGGAATCAAACAACATTATCACTGAACCATCACTCATCAAATAACTTATCCAACAACATTTCGATGATTGGACAGCTCCCAGAAACATCTAACTACAATTATTCAACACAATGTAATAACAAGAATATTAACCTAAACTAAATATTAATCCTACATGGTATCAACTAGCACTTAAGGAATTTTCTTCTATAAAAATTCTTGAAGTTATCAATCAACTTTCTAATAACAAAACATGTAAACCATTAGACATTAGTTATGAGATGATCAAACATGCTAGAACAGTATTTTTAAATACAATTACAGCTCTTCTTAATTACTGTCTTATATCTGATCAAATCCCAAATCAATAGAAAGAAGAAAAAATCTTTTCTATTTCTAAAAAACTTATCTTTAATGGCAACTTAACTAATACCAGATCTATTAGTTTACTTGAATATAATAAAAAACTCTATACTAAAATTCTTACCAACTAACTTAACTATATCTTTACCTATCACAAAATTTTGTCACTTTTTAACTATATAGCTTTATCTGGTAACAGTATAGCTATTTCTATATATATACTAAATAACATTATTAAAGAAGCTTCCTGTAACTCCAAACAATTTTGGCTCTTATCTCAGAACATGAGCAAAGCTTATGATTCTGTAGACCTCATACTCTTTACCAAATCTTTATTACACCTACATATGTTACCTAATCTTATTAATATTCTTACTAATTTGTTTACTAATCAACAAAACCGAGTTATTATAAATTTAGGTTTTACCAACTCTTATAATGTAAAAAATAGTATTGATCAAAAAGAAACTATAACCCTATTGTTTTAGAGAATTTATTATGACTCTCTTATAAATAATATAGCTTTAGATTTTTCAGAATACATTTTGATCACAAAGTGGAATATTAGTTTGTTTTGACAAAACCTTAATAACTTCAAATCTTAGTATCTGTATTAGTATATATAAATGACATACTTTGGATAATAAAATCTAAAGAAGGATTACAATTAATTATTGCCACAGCTATCTCCTTTTATCATATGACAGACATTCAAATTAATTCAACTAAATTAATTCTTATATCAAATAGATCATCCATAGTTTCTATTCATTGCTTTAGCTCATTACTTACACCAATTCCTGTTAACCAACCATTTAAATTTTTAGGATGTTGGTTTATTCTTAATAATTCATATACAAAACAAAGCCAACTAATTTATAATGAAACAATCCAACTCATCAATATTACTGATATAAAAAAGATTAAGCTATCTATATTACTAATATTGTAATTATTTCTACTATTGAATACAGATTACATAACATTATTCTTAAACTCTCCATTTGTGATAGCATTTTATCCAAATACTTTACTATGATCAAACACAAAGCTAAACTTTTCCGTATCAGTTCTAATAGCACTATGCTTAACCCCCATATATATAATATATATAATATCTAGGATATCCAACTACAACATCATATATCCTGCTTTTAACAAAGAATTAATTACTCTAAGATTCTTAGTATTTCTATCAAAATCTGTTTACAGCAACTTCAAAACAACCTTTGGTTTACTATTAACATTCTTTAGCACAGCCAATCACTTATAGATGGATCTAACAAACTTATACTTAATTTCAAAATCATACAACTTCTACAATACCTTGGCATATTAATTTCAGCCAACTCTAATGTCCTGTGGCCTAATACTTTTTATGATAGATATCAACTACTGGAACTGATACTCAGTTAACATTCCAAATACTATATTTTCAGAAAACAACTTCAAAAAAATAATATACTCTACTTAAAGTGATTAAGTATTGCAAACAATAGTATATTACTTAAATAGCACCATCTTTTACCAAAACTCCACAATCTAACAAAAGGAAGTCAACCTCTTTGGTTTATCTATCTAAAAGATACAATCCTATCTGACAGACTACATCGCCTAATCCTTCTTTATTTTTAACCTTTAGGAGTTAATGCTTTTGCATATAATACTTCACCAATAAAAAAAAAACTTAAATCTTAGCTACTTACCTACAATAATAATAATGAAGAGATCATTATTGGCAAAATTTACAAATATTTTTCCAACACAAACCAGTTCTCTATCTTATATTAGAATACAAATATTGATTTATAACATAATTATTATTACCCACTGCCAGATTTAGACTGCACACTATGTACTGGATGCCATCTTAACTCAAACAGAATTAAGCAAACATGCACAATTAACATTTTAGCAACTATCTGTACTAGCTTTTTAGAAAGAAAAACTCTTAAATTCAAATTTAATGCTAACTACTTGTATCTTATTTATTTAACAATAATTAAATATCCTTTATGAATTTCTTATAACTATTCTACTATCAATATATTAAATTCAACTATTACAGAAATCTTTAAACCCAATGACTGTTCAAACAAACTTAACGAAATTTTTCAAAACAATTTATCTTATAAGGAATTTACTTTTTATACAGATGGATCAGTAACTGATATTGGAACTGAACAAAGCTTAATGGGCATTGGATAGATCCAAATTGATAATAACAACCAAGTTCTTTATAAATTTTCAGCTAAAATCCATCTTTAGCCATTAGCTTATAAGGCAGAGCTCTTTTCTATCCTATCTGCTATCTCAATTGTACCTCGTAATGCAACACTTCAAATCTATACTGACTCACAATCAGTTATATTTAAATACTACAAACTCTCTACACAACTCAATAATCCTAACAAACTTTTTAAATTTAATATATGGCCACTATGGCATACACTTCTTAACATCATTAAATCCTTCAATTTAAATATCAACTTGTATAAAGTTCAAACCCATATAGATAATATCTTTAATAACATGGCTGACTCCTTAGCAAAACAACATACCTTCTCCTTGCCTTTAAACTTTCAATATACAAACATTTACAACCCTTTTCATATTTTACAATGGGAACAAAATCCTGTTGAGCTTCCTACCTGATACTTTATCAAAAATATTTGCAAAGCTCATATACTGGCAATGTGGTCTTCACAAAAAAGAAACAATGAATGGTCTTATATTAATCACTACATAGACTAGCAATCAACATGGCTATATCTCAATCATAACCAAAAACCCTCATCCAACTTTACTAGTTTTAAACTCAATCAATCCAAAGCCTTTAAAA